TGGCTGCTTGTACGAGTCCGGGTTTATTTCCCGTTTTATAATGCTTACCCACTGAGATACCATGCCGCAGTGTAACATGTTTATCCCACATTATACTGACTCCGATCTTTGTTTTATCACCTTTATGCTAGCCAGGGTAACAACAAGTATTAACTTTTACGTCTTTCGGTCTGGTGCGACCAGGTGAAAGAACCACCTACCTTACTCTCGACGCTCTATCCACTACACTACGGGGGGCGGTCGGGTAGCCTAGTGGTTTAAGCATTCGCTCGTCACGCTGAAGACCCGGGTTCGATTCCCGACATGGGTATAATGTGTGAAGCCCATATCTGGTGTCCCCCGCCGTGATATTGCTGGAATATTGCTAAAAGCGGCGTAAAACCATACTCACTCACTCACTCACTTCACTACGGAGGTGGTCCCATTTAGTGACAGCATCGGTTCAATAAGAGTGTAATACTGATATGTATGAGATGAAATACATTTCAAAGAAATTGCAAATGTAATGACACCGTGAAAATGGAAATAAATTCATGAAATTTGTCATTCATATTCTGAGCACGTAGCTTCATGAATGGCATTGTCAGTCTTGATCCACAATGGCACATTGTCTTCATGGTAGGTTGGTGGGTGGTTCGGGGATTACAATCTACAACAGGTATCGATTAGAAAACAGATGCAGCTTTTACGCAGGCTGTGTGATTTACACACACCGTTCCGAAGTCATTGATTGAATTATGACAAGCACTGTGAGGTCCGACTTCTTTTACTGTATTCAAAAAGATATTTGACTAACAGATGCAGCTTTTATGCAGGCTGTGTGATTTACACACACCGTTCCGAAGTCATTGATTGGATAATTATGACAAGCACTGTGAGGTCCGACTTCTTTTACTCTACTCAAAAAGATATTTGACTACTTTATTGCATTTTGTTATAACGATTTTAATAATCGATCTTGGCTCTGACAGTCCATGAAACTTATATGGTGTTCTGCTTTTAAAATAAGTGTACTTAAGCTCTAAGTTTGTTGTTGGTCCGGAGTGCTGCGGTGCAGTCTCCGGTAATAAACAAATACTTTTTGATGCAAATTGTGTGAGTGATTGAGTATGGTTTTTTAGCCGCTTTTAGCAATATTCCAGCAATATCACGTCGGGGAACACCAGAAATGGGCTTCACAAATTTTACCCATGTCGGGAATCGAACCCGTGTCTTCGGCGTGACGAGCGAACGCTTTAACCACTAGGCTACCCGACCGCCCCTGCAAATTGTGTGAGTGGTAGGGCATGACATGCTTACCCTTTTCGCGAACACCTGGTGTCATTACTGATTTTCAGTTATCCAGACATATTTGTTACCTCTGTTCTGCCTGTTACACCCAATGGAATCTGTTACGTCGGATAATCGAGACTGGTGTTGACGTTTTATATCTACGTAAATGAATTACGGGTATGTTTAATTAAGATTAAGTTTTATTTTAGCTGTTTAGTTCTTTTTCGTAATAATGTCACGTATCCTGTGTACTACAAATATTTACGATGGGGTAGATTAATATAAAATATCGCTTAGGGGTGAATATAACACTGTGTCAGTGTATCGATATTATGAATATGAACAAATTTAAGATTTCTTATTATACTTCACGTATTTGGCACTGCTGATACTTTTCGCACCGCCAGAGTTCATCAATGTTAAGCCTCTGTATATACCTTTCGAGCGAAAGCCATGTCGAGTGGTCCTTTAAAGCTGATTTACAGGGTCAACAGTTTGAGTGTGTGTACTGTTCCCAGCCGCTAATAGCGTACCAGTGTTACCATTTCTTCAGCTAATCTTTATCCTAAAATCAGCTTTTTGTGGGGACATATTTTGCTGCCAGAATTAAAGGTCAAACGGGTATGGTGTTCTTTATATATACATCTCTTAATCCGGGTTAAGATGCGGCTTTTCGTATGGAACTTGCCAAATGTCATGACACCTGTACAAACCATCAACTGATTTGTTTCACTTTTTACTGAGCGGATTGGGCTTGAAGAAAATGATCAAAATGTATAAGAATGTACATTGACATTTAAATAGGACAAACTGCATCTGTCATTTATCCAAAAAGGAAATGGTAGACTTAACCACTTACCACATAAAGAGAAGAGATGCATCTGATGCTGCTGTTTCTGTTTATTCTCGACTTATCTGTTAATATTCACGTTGCCATACCAGCAAAACCGTTACTACCCTTCATGTATACATGAAAGAAATTAAAACATTGTGCTCTCGAATAGCCATTTCGTAAAATATCAACTGAATCCAAATTAATAACTATGCGGATAATCATGTGACTAGCGACTGTGCGTTGTTTTTCCATCCCATTCCCACAGGGCAACAGTAGGGATCTATACCACACGTTTTCGGCTGAAATCTGCATTCACTCGGTTTGCATATATCAAGGATAGGATCTCCAATATCCAGAGTGTCAATGTCATGTGTGTGTGTGTGTGTGCGTGCGTGCGTGCGTGCGTGCGTGCGTGCGTGCGTGCGTGCGTGCGTGCGTGCGTGCGTGCGTGCGTGCGTGCGTGTGTGTGTGTGTGTGTGTGTGTGTGTGTGTATGTAAATGTATATACTTCTCCCACCCACGCTGATATGTAACCCATAGTGTGGTGCAATGACAGTAATTCATTATTTCGGGTTGTTATTGGCGATCACAGACGTCCACTTATCGTCGTCACTTCACAAATCCCCCACAGAGTACGCCGTGACCTCATCTGCACTGAACCAAGCGATTAAAAAAATATTACCTTGAAAATATACCCGATAACGTAATTTTCTTAACAATCATAACACTGTACCGTACAGTACATACAAACAAAGCGATGCTTGTGACTGGATATTCCTTGAAAACACTTTACTATTCATTTCCAGTTCACACACGAGACTACATTGTCCCCCTTATCTCATGCCCACCACTGAGTGCTGTTGTGGCGCACCTTGTAATGAATAGGAGCTACACTCTTCTATCACCCCATGGTGTCACTGTTACCTCAACATACGCCCAGGGCCCAGAAAAAACTGATTAGAGGTTGGCAACTGGCAAAACAGGTTCTAACATTTATCACGGTCAAGTTGACACTATCAGCTCTCTTCCTTTGTTTGGCTGGGTAGATACCAAGATATTGATTCTTATGCAACAGTTTAAACGTGTTATCGAAAAGTGTACTTTCACTGACAGCAATAACATGGATGACGTATATGTTCAATGTAAACATACACATACTTTAGCAACCTGGCAAATCAGTATAATATTCCCCTTGTTCATAACAGGAATCCAGATTCTGATTTAATAGATGCGTCTGGTTGTGAATGTTGTTTTAGTCTATAAAGAGTTTACCACTTATGCATGTATACTGGTAAAGGTAAAACGGAACACAATGTTTTTAATCGACTTTTAATGTTATACAGATGAATACCATATTCCTATATTGAAACCAATCATGACTTGATATAGGTGTGTTTAAAGGGGAAGTGTACACGCAAAAATCACTTTCTTTCTTTTTCTAAACAAAACGCAATTTTAGAATTAATTAGTATCTGTGTTTGAAAATATACACTAATTTTTTTTCACAGTGAAAGTAGGAAGCTCACAATAGTGTTAAAATGATATGCCGTTATGAGGCCTTCGTTTTACGAGCGAAATAGGCCTGAGTTATCCCCCTTAGATTATGACGTAATTGGTGCCAATTCAACTCGGTCCCTGTCTATTCTCAACGCAAAAGATATCAAGGACCAGTTTGCGGTAAAACAACATGGTCTACGACACACTCCGGCGCAGTGGTGACTCAGCATAACACAATTCTGGCTGGCATCTGAGACGCTAGAATCACAAAACTGTACCTACACCACGTGAAGCGGCTCTAACAAAGCATGATGACGTCATAATGTTTATCAATTGGCACCAATGACGTCATATTGCAAGGGGCATAAGCCATGGTGTTTTTGTTATGGAAATAGAACACTTGGTAAATGTGAAAAATATAAATCGTTTTAATGCAAAAAATATGTTAATTAAATATGATGTTTTTATATTTTTGTCTATGACACTTCTATGTTAACACTTTTAATGTGGAAAAAGTACAAGAAAAATTGGTTCATTTCCGTGTGAACTTGCCCTTTAAACAACATGCAAATTGTTCTCAACCAAGTCACAGTTTACTCCAGTCAACCTAAGGGATCCTTATATACATGCTGACTATTACTGGCATTGGGAAGTTCCTTAAAACAAAGGACGTATTGACATGTTATTGACAGATGTTCAACTGAAAATGTTTCAAAACGGTATCGTATGGTACGAAAAGTGTAAATAATACACACTAACCACAAAGCATTTGTCACCAAATTGTGAGGTCTGTATTGCTTTGTCAATGCCGCCCTTCTAATCTTAGGGTTTTCAGAATTTTGAATTAGGTTTTCTTCGAAGTACTTAGCATGGATCCCTGTTAATCAGTCCCGGAATTACCACACATAAACACATAATCAGTTTATATTTGGCTCTTTGAGTTGAAAGTGTGCTTCTTTCACATCATTGCCAAATGGTAATCTGGTGTGTTCTAGAATTTGCATCAGACGTGTGAAGTCGCAGGATTTCATTCTTTTTCCTGTTCTGGAGCCTTGATTAACTGCTCAGAAATATAAGGTTATGCACCTAGTCAGTTAACTTTCATCAACGTTTAAATAAACAACTTGGAAGAAAACCATGTATCCTTTCCAAATGTAAAATCTAGTCATTTAAAAACCAAAAGCCTCACCGTTTCATTTTCAAAAGAACTGATTTCATTTTCGTTAAGAGCTGTTCTAACAATGTTTTTTAAAATAATTTGATTAAATGTAAAACACCTGAACATTAACAGAAACTCTACCTGGAAAGGTAAGGACACTGAAAAAAACAACAGATGACAGATATGGTAAATGTTTTCCTCTGTATTCCTGTTTACAAATTATTTTCTTTATTTCAGCTCAACCAGAGAAGAATGTCAGCTGCCTCCTTACGGCTGTCTTCAACGTGTCTGGCCAGAATCAATGAAGAAGGTGACGACGGCGGTGGAGGAGGTTTCACCAATGGAAAACTACAAGACTGCACGAACCTGGGAGGTTCTACAGTTGGACATCGAAGACATTCGAGTTTCAGTCTTGAAGCATGTCGGAATAGACGTCCTCTGAACACGACAGACACTGATGTTTTTGAACACGAACTTTCCACCGAGTCTGACAGACTCCGAAAGGCTCGGTCATGGGGTTCGTTGGTGTCTGGTTCTGCCTTCAGATCTGTGAGTTCAGAAAGTTTAAATGAAAGAAACAATGACATATCTGCGAATCAGCTTTCAAACATACCGAATACTAGGAAAAACCAGAGAAGTTCTTCTTTTTCTGCCATTACTGGGAACAGTTATAACCAGCATTTTGCCAGGCAAAATCCAATCAGCGAGGATCCGATGGTAAATAATGAAAACATTGAACCCAAGTTACGTCGAGCTAGCATTCAGTGTGAAGCTGTCTTGACAGGAGGCGGCAATAAGAAGAACCAAGGTATATTCAAAGATGTTGACTTAGCAAACGTCTCACAAGACATGCCTAGTCCACTCCATGCAGTTTTGCATGGTTTCAAAGCTTCACAGCCCCAGAATAAAACCAATAAGGCTGAGAAGCAAGTCCAAAATGGGGTACAGAATGAAGCTACAAATTTGGGATTACAGAGTGTGAAGATATCCAATTCTTCAAATGTTATTCAAAGGAGGAATTCTTTCAATATTGAAACAAGCCCGTCTCCTAGAGGAAACGGACACTATTATAATGGTCACTCTAGGACATTAAGTGAAGCTGACATACATGTTTCTAGACTTTCAAAGGGATACAGTGTACCGAACAATATCCATGATCTCAGTAGGGATGCACCTAAAGTGAACAACTACTTTACTAAACGTTCTCCTGGCAGTTCTATCTCGTTACAGAATATGAAGAATGAGAAGCACCATGTGTCTGAAATGTCCGAGAGGCGACATGGCCAAAGGACGTATTCTGATGGCAATCTGACTCTCGACCCAAGATATAACACTTTCCAGAATGTGAGACGGGTTGAACCCCGAACGTACACGAACAATCAAAGACAGCAAAATGGCATCAAAAGTGATAGAAAGAAATCCGATGACAATGTGTTTGTTGATGACAGAATGTCGTCATCACGTTCCTCATCCACAAATGGAAAAACTATAAACAAGGACTCTAAGGTAGCTGAAACAAAATCAAAGGTGAATCCAACAAAATCAGTTAAGAATAAAGACGATGATAAAGAACAAGGGAAAAAGGAAGAACCCAAAAAAGGTGATCAGTCATGCGCGAACACGCCAAGGTCAGACACTGAATATGAACAGCACCAAACACCTTCTCTCCAGATTCCTTATCATGAGAAAAAGTTCAGCATAGCTTCTGATGAGGGGTACGTGACCTCCCCTCCAAGCACACCGTGTGGACGTCATGCCCATAGTATCGTCTCCGACAGCAGCTGGATCTCAACCGACTTCGACGACACTGCGTCAAGTTGTGAACCAAGCCCTGTTCATGGACCAGTGAAGGTGATACCTGCATTTCTTAAACGAAATGACATCTCTTACGACTATTCCAAAGCTAAACATTCCCGCCGATCATCTGGCTATGAAAGTACATCAGAATGTGACAGGGTTCAGGAGCAGGAATGTGATACACAAAAAAGGGAGGAGGGGGCAAAACAAGAATTGTTCAAGCCTGATAGTTGTGCTTCTTTGCCTTTCCGTCAAACCGAAGTATGACTCTTGTCTCATGGTTAACAATTTATTTTGTATTTGTTCTGTTTTCGTTTCGATGTCTGTAGTCACAAAAGGACAATTCAAATATAGTTACCTTTGAACATTTAAGGCCTGACAAGAGACGATGGATTCTTTTTTCAAAGATTAAATGTTATGTGTATCTTGATGGATCCACGGTACAGTGATATTGGACCAGTTTGGATCTGTTCATATGTACAATACATGTTACACTAGCGCATTTCCTCAACAGTTCTAGACCTATGGCAAATTAGATGTGAGACATAATAAGAATATCATGTCTTGTGGAGAACATTGTGTTTTGGTCTCGCTTAACTTGGAATTTAAGCCGCGAGAAGGTTTTGAGTTTCACCAAGCATTTCGGTTTTACATGAATCTTTGATTACAAATGCCATGACAGTTCCTCAGAAACAGGAATATTTATAACATGCTTTTAATCTTTGTATCTAGGAATGTGATTATCGTATGAGTGAAAGTGAATACGTTAAACTGTCATGCTTTCAATATTATCATCTCAGTTTTGTTCTTAGGTAACTTCAGTGTCACCTTTGATTAAGGACAGCAGTTGGAAACTGTTTCTAAAACATACACCAAGATGGGAATTGAGAATAAGAAACAATATTATGGAAGATATTTACTATTCACTCACCATTAATTAATACTTGTTCAACATATTCGTATTCCTCATTCAACACTATAAATCAAAATATCATTATTGATCACGTTCAAAATGTTGCAATGAGTACATTAAAAATAAGACAATCAACGTTACTTATATGTATGTATGGGCAACAGTATCTTTTATAATAATAATTCATCAAATTAGATTTATCCTTTATAGTGCTAAAGTTTCTTTCTCCATGCTGCTATTCCCTTGTGTGTGATATACATCATACTGAACTAGATTGGACAGATTCAGAATAGATATATTGAGTTTTGTAAGCACATCAGTTGACGGAATCGCATCATCAAAAACTATTTCGTACTAAACCGAATTTTATTTTTATGTAATTGAAAGAACTGTTGTTAAATTTGATTATGTCTATTTAATCATCACCCACTCCTGCAACAGTTTGTAAAATCTAGTCTGTTGCTGGGTAGTTTTGTGTAAAATAATATTGGTCAATGAAGACTGGGGTAAGAAATGAATTTGCAACCACATGATCCCTACCATGTTTGAAATGTAAATGAAAAAAAGCAGATTTTATGAATTTCAAAGATTAGGTGTCAAAGATACCCATCACCAGTTGTGCATTATGCGATTTTTCTTTAAGTTTTCAAAGTTTTAAATCAAAATATATATTATAAAATCTAACCATGTAGAAGTATTCTTCGAGTACTCACCAAGCGCCAGTACAGTCCATTTTTCGGATATGATATTGCTAACTAGATATTTTTGATTGAAATTAAAAGATAAGATGAAATCAACTGGTGGATATAGTTTATTTTGCTCATCAGTGTAGTTGCCATGATCTACAGTACTGGTATCTTCTCGTGTCTACAGATGGCTGCATGAAACAGATATTGGTAATCATGATATGATGATGTAAACGTGTACATGCATTTATGATTGACATACACTCCAATTCACAAACAATGATTTATTGCCAAACAACAGCAAGTTCTTGTAACGTTTACGTGTAAGAGATTGCCTGTTGCGAAGTATTATTTGAAAGTGATTCATAAACACATGCTATAGTCGGAATCGTACTATCGACTTTGCTTTTGGCAGAGATATGAATTTGGAAAGGGTTTTGTCGCTTTTATTTACTTTTATCGATATCTCTGCCCCGCTATCACATTTACCTTGAAGGGTTCGTCTGAATTTACATGCTCCTTCTTTATAACATTTCATGTTTAGGGTAATCAGCACTCTATTTATGATAGACACTAGAGCTACTTCGTTACTTGTTATGCATAGGATCACATCATGTTTGTATGCTGATGATAAAAGTAATCACAAATCCTGTTCATTTCGATTTACTTAGGTGTACATTCCGATGATTCATACTAGAAGTACAGTTATGTTATGTCATACTCAAGCGATGAAATATGATTGATTGGTGTATGTAAATATCATTTAAAATGACAAATGATACTCATCAACGAATGTACCAGTCATGAAGGCATATCCCAATGTGGATGATTTTAATGCATTCATGTCTGGTGCAAAATGCTTGAAGGGGTCCGGTGAAACCAATACTGAATTTAAATTTGTAAGGTGTTTTGAAGATGTTTTAAAAATATGTTTTATCTTGATGCAGGCATGTCAATGATTCATTGCCAGATTTCTGTTAAAAGGCCCATCTCATCAGTCAAAATACTGACAACTAAAAGAAACGCAACGAATATGCTAGTTATACGCTCGAAAACCTTTTGATCTATTATTGTAAATTGAAGAGAAAGAATATAAATACTCCTGAAGAATCAGGTATGCCACATGCGCACGTCGTGGCCCATTAACTATCAATTCTATAGTGATGGAAAAATATATGCATGTCTTTTTCTTAAATATTCGTCAACTTGACATTTTGAGAGAAAAAAATCTCTCATCTTAATCTTTTACTTCGGAATATTTAATCGTCTATTTTATGGGAAAATCGAGCAGGGAACCTTGTGTATGTTTCCGAATTGAAGGCTACTTGAATGTTGCGTTTCTTCTAATGGTCAATATAGCTGTTGGATTTCAGCACGCAGCAGGGTGTGTTGTATGTGCTTTTTGTAGGTTAACGAATGTATGCGAAACAACTGTTAGCATAGCATAGGTTAGGCAAGTCAGTGCTGAAATCACATAGTGAGTGCTGTAGACAAACTATATTGTGGATGGATTCCAATGGGTGAAATCAGAGTTTATGTTGCCAATCTACACCCGTTGTTAATAAGATAGTCTGGTTCGGGGATTGTACAACTCGATTAAATCCGTGCCTGAATATACCACTTTAAATATGGCGTAGACTGACTGAAAGTGGTACACTCAGCAATCTGAAAAATTAAATGTAAACTGTAATTCTTAACCTATATCAACGATTTCAGCATGACGAATGTTTTCTTTTAACTGCAAAACTTACATGTATGTACGTATAGTCAACACCCAATATAACGAAGGGAACAGCAAAATCATTTCGTTAAATGAACATAAACAGAAACCTTATTTCCCACTTTTATTGGATTACAAGATTTGAACCTAATACTTTCTCTCCCAACCTTCGTTATGACCGGAAATGACCGCACAAGCAAATGTACATCATGTACACTAGACGAGACCTAGTCTCTGACCAAAACATATTTGTATTAGTACAAAAGTACAAAATTGTGAGACGTTTGCCTCGGATTATTTTAAATGAAAATTAATACAGACTGATCATGTCTTCTTGTACATATGAACTTGTCTTCACATATGTAAATTTGAGAACATATATTAACATCTGAGATCTTTAATGTTGCATGACGCCTATAGCGCATACGGCGTATCTACTTTTAGGGCTTGTATGGTGCTGTACTTTAATGCTTTCCTCTCCCGAGGGGATACAGGTGCACTTGGTCACATGATGAACTGTGCGCAACGTGATATGTGTTTGCCTGTGATAAGACTGTCTGAAATTATATATGCTTGCGGCTAGGATCAGTGTGTCACGTTATTGGTGAATAAAACCTATATTTATAAATTTCGTACGTCCTGTGAAGTTGTCTATGCTTTATGTTAATACGTGAATATATCGAATATTATATTTCGATTTATATGTGCTCTACGTGCATGTATGTGCGCGTGCTAGTGTACCGTCTTGTAACGTCTGTTCGTACGACGCGGTCAGGGATCGAACTACCGACCTTTCCATCTCCAGGCAGACGCTCTGTCCTCTAGACTGTCGTATACAACATTCAATATATAATACACACGTGATAACGGAATCATATCAACTCATAATTTGTTAAATGTGAAGCTTAGGGCTTTTCAGTTGAATGAGAGGTCGGTCACATGACTGCGAAACTGACGTCCATAAGCGCCCTTATTTTCCCTTTTATACTTTTTTCACAAGACAGTATTCTAGAAAGGACGTAAACACCGACGGACTACTTTATTTACATTTCTGGGGACCCTGAGTATTCCCTAGCATGAATACATTTAAGATCATTTAGATACTTTAATCTTGTACTTTGGTGTTTCGCATTCACTATTTGACTGTATGCCCGTGAAAGCATGGCCCATCCTCGTATTCAAAACGGAATGTACAATCATTAAAAACTATCTACTCTGTGACCAGACTGACAGTGAGAGTCAACAACATTCTCCATCAGTCTATAAATTTACTTCAGCATCTATTCGACACATCTTAGTAATAACCATTATATGACAGTCATGCTCAACAATGATGACTGACGCCAAAGCGCAGTACATTGACAACTTGGGATATCCTCCCCGCCTCGTTGATCGTGTCAGTCATTTTGACGACCAATAGTTGAAATGAATTTATCTCTCCTCCCAAGATTTCCGCGGTCAACCCAGTACGATTCGTCCCATCTTACATTTTCTATTCAGCAAATTGCGTACATATCTTTATCATCTTTCATTTTTTAAAAAAGCACACACAAGGATGTTTCTGTAGGCATCTTTAGCTCACATACGCTGATATTATCTGTCATTATGGGGAACATTTTTCTCGCGATACAGATGGCCGTGTTATGGGTGTCAGTGTAAACATGAGGTCGCACATACAAACTGACATTGTATATCTACAACTATCGAAATCCCAAACAGGGATATAACAAATGATGAAACTCCAACGTCCATACAGTTTGGGTCACATACTATGACGGTTCCTACTCCAATGAACTCACGTAAACTGAAGGTTAATTCTTGAAATCAAAGCCGGACATGACCAGACAGTAAAGCAACCATTTCTGGTGTCCCCCGTCACGATATTGCTCGAATGTTGCTAAAAAATGCGTCGTAAAACCATACTCAATCCTGTGAATCACTGTAATGAAACAACAATATCAGACCTTTGTTTAGAAAATGAACAAACACAATACCCTACATCACTGTTGTTAACAACAACGTGTTCCCAAATCAGACATTAGGTTTTCACTATTGTCATACCCCTCACTTTCGCGGTTGAAGTGGGATATCTTTTAACAAACCCATTCCGTCCCAGCCAGCTGTCATCCAAAGCCAAAGCCATGCGTGAAGAGTTTGTAGTTGTCCCCACTGACAAGGCCTCAATAGCATAACCATTATTAGTAAGCTTCAACATTAATTGTTTGATCATAGAATAATGCCACATATAAAGCCAGTATGTTAACTGAGGAAGAAATCTGCCCAAACCATGCATCAGTACTATCAACTTTTGACTTAGCTCTAAAACCTGAAAACATGTTCATTCCTCTTTTGTACTGGATTCCAAAGCTCTATAAAAACCCGTACTCAGAGAGATGTATTGCTGGGTATTGCAAATGTACCAACATATCACAGATTAACCATAATCCTTAATAAAATCAAGGAAGGACTTTCTTTATAGTCACAGACAGTATTTGTGGAATATCAAAAACGGAGAGGATTTGCTTGATCTTTTACAATCTCAGAAAAGAACCAGGTTCAATTCTGTCAAAACATTTCATTTTTCAACTTTGTACACAACTATCCCACATTGCAAACTTAAGGAAAAGCTTCATTTCTTGGTTCCAACGGGACTTTTGTTACAAAATGTGGTGACCATTGATACAGTTACATATCTATGTTCAGAGGTTCAGGTCAATTTGTCAAGAATGAAAGCAAATATCATCTGAAGTTTACTAAGATAACAATATGTGAGATGCTGGACTTCCTCATTGATAGGGAAGGGCATGAAAAAGGCCTAATCTAAGGCCAATCACAACGATCCCCACACAATTGTAGACAAACAGGTCCCTTCCCGAGAGGTTGGTTGGTTGGTTGGTTTGTTGTTTAACGCCGCACTCAGTAATATTCCAGCTATATGACGGCGGTCTGTAAATAATCGTGTCTGGACCAGACAATCCAGTCAATTGGGATCGATGACATGCATCAACCAAGTCAGCGAGCCTGACCACCCGATCCCGTTAGTCGCCTTTTACGACAAGCATAGTCGCCTTTTACGGCAAGCATGGGTTGCTGAAGACCTATTCTACCCCGGATCTTCACGGGTACTTCCCGAGAAGAAAACGTTGGTTAGTATTACTTTTTTTTTAGTAGTCCTGACAATATGTGTGATGCTAGGCTGTACAATAAAGTGTGGTTCAGACAATATAGGTGATGCTAGGCTGTACAACAAAGTGTGGTTCAGACACGATAGGTGATACCAGGCTGTACAACATTTGTGGTTTAGACAATACAGGTGATGCTAGACTGTACAACAAAGAGTGGTTCAGACAATATAGGTGATGCTAGGCTGTACAACAAAGTGTGGTTCAGACAATACAGGTGATGCTAGGCTGTACAACAAAGTGTGGTTCAGACAATATAGGTGATGCTAGGCTGTACAACAAAGTGTGGTTCAGACACGATAGGTGATACCAGGCTGTACAACATTTGTGGTTCAGACAATACAGGTGATGCTAGGCCGTACACCATTGTGTGGTTCAGACAATACAGGTGATGCTAGACTGTACAACAAAGAGTAGTTCAGACAATATAGGTGATGCTAGGCTGTACAACAAAGTGTGGTTCAGACAATACAGGTGATGCTAGGCTGTACAACAAAGTGTGGTTCAGACACGATAGGTGATGCTAGGCTGTACAACAAAGTGTGGTTCAGACACGATAGGTGATACCAGGCTGTACAACATTTGTGGTTCAGACAATACAGGTGATGCTAGGCCGTACACCATTGTGTGGTTCAGACAATACAGGTGATGCTAGGCTGTACAACAAAGTGTGGTTCAGACATTACACGTAATGCTAGTCCGCACACACATAAGTGATATAGACAATATACGTGTTGCAAGACCAACCAGTGAGGTACAAGGGACCAAACTCCTTTCATTCCGGATAAAGTATTGACTCACGCCATACACTTGGCGCATACCCTCAGCTGGCGTAGTTCCTCTGAGATCAAAACACATTCTCGTTAAAATCAGGCCTTAGTTCTCGCTACCGCTAAACAAAGATCTAAGGACATCCCATTACGGGTCACGTCAGAACGACCTTTCATCCGACAAATCAGAGCGTCGCTTACCAGATCATGAAAGTGACAGTCGGAATGTCATTTCTAATCATGCAGCTCGAAAACGTTAACACGGGGTATTCCGAACGATAGTTACGGGTTTAACGACTGAATCCATACAATCTAGATCATCTATTAGCCATTCCAGAATGTTTTTTGGTCAGGTTTCAAATTTGTAATCGAGAATTTGTCAAAATATGTTTCGAAGCGTAGTCGCAAATATGAAATTAGTGCCGTAAAGCACGAGAAAGCTCCCTTCTGATTGGTCACCCCATTGGTCGGTCAAAGTTCGCGCAAGGTCAGTCTGACGTGACCCGTAATGGGATGTCCTCAGATTTTTGTTTAGCGGTAGCGAAAACTATGATCTGATTTAAATGAGATTGGATCCAAACATGTATCTGCAATGGTTTAGCTAAATTACTAATTAACAAATTTATATTGGATTCATGTTGCTTTATCGGATTATCGAAAAAAATAATCTTTCTAGCTTTTAGTAAATGATCGCCATGACGCGACGTCCATACATGATGTGGTACCTGGTAATAAGATTACCATGCTGCAGTCGTACTTCAGTAATGCCAGAATATACGTTAAGAGGTACCATTGTCATGTAAGAAAAACTCGAAAACATGCCTGAAATATAAAAACGCAATAACAATATAACCTTTTTCGGCCTTGAATCACACAGAAAATGAAAAAGATATGTCCCGACAGTAAAAAGTAGTCGATTTAAAACGCAGCGTTATAAATTATTGACTGTATATCATGTAATTTGATGTAACGGATTCCACTACACCTGTCCTTGTGGAGTGGCCCTTGAGACACGAAGAGCGTTTTTTAAAAAGAATGGCCCTTCAAACACGGAGACCGGTTTTTTAAAACAGCAATTCCTGTGTCAGCATACTCGGAAGCAGCCCCTAGAAAAATATATATCACGTAATCTCAGATCGTCCTTCAAAGTCACGTAATTCTACAATAACAGGTGATTTATTACTTGTGATCTATCCCCCGGTTGCCCGGGAGACATACAGGCTGCTGAAAGTCATTAACAAAACCTATATCAGCAAACAGACAAGTGAGTCAGTCAGCTAAACGCCTGGGACGTCACGTCGTAAACACAGCCTCGGCAGCACAGGTGGACGACATCCTCACAATAAGCTCTAGACACATGTCGGGTGTTAGCACAGTGATTTACACATTGTAATCCATGGCGAAGTCGTCATTCAGTGTGGTCTGATTATTAAAAGAAGAGGGGGCACTGGTACCCTAGTCGTCTAAAGCGACGCAATTCATTGTGAAGAGTTGCGTCCCTTATGCGTGACACATATCTATGTTCGTGGGATCGAATCCCAGTTCACCCTAATAATATGTTAAGGTTAGGTAAAGCCTCTATTGCTAAGACTGGGAAAGTGAATTTGGATTGAAAGGTTAAATAAAAGAGGGTTAACAGAGGGAATGTCGGGTACGTGGTTTTATATCCCATCGGAAC